GGGGGGGAGGGGGCGCGAGATTCCTGGGCACTCAGGTGACTCCTAAGGGGTCTCATCCTCTCACTCCATTGAGTGACCGAGGTCACCAGAGCTAAGTCATTGATTTTTTCTTTTGGTAATTACACCATTTCATTTATCAGTATTTTAATGTGATTGCAGGCAGCTAACCCCAAAGCTCTCAGAGCCCGGTTTCATTTAATTAGGAGTCTAACGAGATGGACTATTTGGTTTTTCTCAGTGACAGCACTTTTTTTAAACTTTCATTTTTAAATAAAAATTCACAAGATGTCACAAAAACACTAAACACGCTAAGGCCTTCCCTCCAGCAGTCCCACTGTCATACTGCAAGGGACAGGCACCATCCCCGGTTTAAGGAGAGATCCCGTCACTGTCCACCGGCACCCGGCCAGGGTCCCCGTGGGTAGTGCGGTGTGTCACTCCAGCACATTACCCAGCGCAGGAGTGGATCTCATACAGCTCAGCTAACTGGACCACGGACCCAAGGGACTGACTTTTATCCTAAGGAGCTGGAGCGGGCAGGTGAAGAGCGTGTCACTGGCCTTTAGGAGAGAGACGGGGCTCATTCGCCCCTGAAACTCCTCTCAGTCCTGACCTCTTGGCAGCCCCAACTCCAGTGAAAAGCAGGATCAAAGCTCATCTGACACAAAAGCATCTTGAAAAACTGTGCACATCCAGCTCTTTGGGCCAACGCACATCACCGTCCAAGTGTCCTATGTAGTATTATGTATTTCAAAGAGGCATGCGATAAATCCTTTTGTAATGTAGAGTGTTTCTTTTTTTAAAAGCAATTCTTCTTTTTGTCATTTACATATAGCTCTGTCATTTGGATTTTTTCTGAGTTTGCTAGACATGAGGTGGGCCTTGACCCCGGCAAGGGCAGAGCTGCCCTGCTCAAGAAAGATGAGGAATTGAAGATTTCACCTGTTGACAAGGCGGTTCAGGAACTTGCCCTGGTTTTGTGGATGACAATAGAAAACATGAGACTCCCAGGTAGAGTCAGAGGTGTATCAGAGCAGCACAGACACATCTGCCTAAGTTTCCATTGTCCCTGAGTACCCCTGACGGACCTGCGGGTTCACAGGGCAGCAGGGGAACCCAGATTCCAGGGAACCAGATCTCTACAACAGGCAGTAACCAAACCTACCCCTTCGCCCTGAAGAGAGACTCTGTCCCCGTCTCCCAGGAAATAGGCAAGCCTACTGTGCTGCAGAGCAAGACGCTGCTTCTGCCTCTACGGCTATGGCTGTACAAACATCTCTGAAAAGATAATCCAGAACAAAAGGCAGTTAGCCTTGTTGACAAGACATGCAGAAAAGCCAGAGACACAGGCAATTATCTCACAACAGGTTTTCTCCCGGGGGTCACTTGCTTTGGGAAGGGTGGGCAGAAGTGAAATCTCTAGGACACCGGTGGGGCCAGCAGACTTTTGGGGCCGCCTACTGTTTACATGGAGCTTTCTGCCTTGTTTTAAAAGACTATTGTGGAAAACCCATCTCCTGTTGCCCATCCTGGGATTGGAGTCAATTTCCTGTGTATCCTTAATTTGCCAGCCCTCGGAGGCTCCCTGGGAGGAAATGGCCATTGCTGAGTGAAGTAGAGTCGCAGATGAAGAAAGCAAACAACTGCGACCGGAGACCCAGGGACTTCCAAAGCCAGGCGGCAGAGCCGAAAGAGAACTCACTCTTCGAAGTTTTGAGGTCCCTCCCACTCTCAAGCCACCTGTGTCTCTGTGTTGGCTGGCAATGGGGCTTTGAGCTTCCAGAAAGTTCCTTTCTCTTGATGACTGAGTCAGCCCTACCTATAGCTATGCCTGTTACTGAGTTGATGAGTCATGGAGAAGCTAGATAGCTTAGGGAGAAATGTGAGCCTACAAGCATAATCAAAGTCCGTTAACCAGCCTGCAGGCAGCCTTGTGACCTTGCTAGCTGAGAGGGGTGTATCTTTAGAAGGCAGCCACGCATGCTTTGTTTTTTTTGCACCCACTTACCAGTTTACATTCTGGCCCCTTAAAGAAGAGGTAGTTTGGAGCCACAGTGCAGGAGGGTGCTGGGTGAATTGCAAGTGTGGTCTCCAGGACCTTCCTCTCCCTGCCCCCCAGCGCTCTGTGCATAAGATCCGGTGTTTGTTCTAGCAGAGGAGGAAGCAGAGGGAAGGATGTCTCTAGCTGGGGCTGGAGCAGGCACTGGGGAGAGCTGGCTCTGACCCTGGTGGCAGGCATTTTGCCCTGTCTCCAGGTGCCACCCTAGAAAGCCCAAGGGCCTTGAAAGCACTGAGGGAGACAGGCTCAGAGATGCTGGCAGGGACAGCAGCCCCCGAGAGAGGGCCTGGGAGGTTTCTGAGCCCTGCTGGTGACCTGGGATGGCAGGAAAGGAGAAACCTTCTAAGTGACAGAGAAGGAAACATAGGGTGTGCTGGTAATGCCAGGGTTGAAAGGGATCGACAAGATTATAGCCCGAGAGCGCCCTGTACTGTTTTCCACGTCGCTTTCCTCCACCGCCTTTCAGGTGGGTCTTCTCTAGCCATAATTACGCCCCAATCTCCCCCTACCCCCCTAATCATT